CCAACTCAGTTAACTCTATCACGGAGATTAACACACTGCTTCAGTTAAGACTCATAACCCAGTCATCCCACCTCTAAACTTTCTTACATTGTCTCACACATGAGCTTTCGGGGGATACCATGTTAAATGGACTTGCCTTGTAATTTCGCTGTTGACATTGCATGTAAGGTGACCTTGCTCAAGGACCAGGGCGGATCCCGGTTTAGAGCTGATCAGGTTTGAGGAAGTTTCCCTCTCCTTGAGTTTAAGGCATTCCGGGTTTAAGACAAGTTTAGGGCATTCCAGGTTTAAGACAATAGGGGTTTTAGGGAAGTTGGAGGTTGAAGATTATTGCTGCTGGGAGTAGGGTGTTCCTGCTGCTTGTTCCCTTTGAGTTCTCCTGAGATTCAAATGGGATTTGGAAAAAAGCCTCGTGGAGTAGGTGAATGGGGCGGGCAGATTTTGGATTTCCCGTGAACGTGTGTGGAGGCCGGTGTGAGGTCGGGAATAAAGAATTGCTGTTTGAATCTACAAAGCTTTGAGTGGCTCGTGATTCAGTGCCAAGCCCAGACATTGGCACTGATTTGGCAGGGTATATAAGAAATTTGAAAATTGTTTCCCAAAGGTGTTATAAATTTTATACTTACCATAGTAGAATTAGAATGTTTCCTTTACCCCCTCACCAATACTTAGCACTGCAGTTTTATCAAATTCATGAATTTCTAAGTGGTTTGTATACAGATTTTATTTATATTTTCACATTATTAATACAAATGATATTAAATAAATTAAAATTTATATTTCTCTAATTATACACTAAGTTCATTTTCTATGGATTTTGGCTTAGTTCATATCAATTCCACCCATGTATCTTGTTTCCCTAATTGGTTGCTTGTTTCTATTATGATACTTGTTATTATTTTCTTTGTGCAAACTTTAAAATTTCACAAATCAATTTTTGTGATTTTTCAGTAGTGTTTAATGATATTTTCCATGCAGAATCATATACATCTATAGACACAAAAATACAAAACACATACACACACAAGAGAAATTTTTATCTGTGAGTCTAGTAAATGCATAGATAAAGTGTATGTGTCCATGACTTAAGTAAGGAAGAAACTGTGAATAGTAGTGAAGGGCGCCCTCAAAAACAAACACAAACAAAGCAAGACATTCTCATAGGAATATATAATGGGAAGAATTGCTCTACATGAATAACTTTGAGGTCTTATTTACATTTAATAACCTTAATTTACAAATGCGTCCTTCAATTGAATTCAGAGTTCTCAGGGAAATTTTCTTTTGGAATTAAATAATGATTTCTCCTCTGGAAGAATAAACTTACTACTGCAATACAATAAAAATTATAAATAGGAATGATAGAGAAAATAAAGAAAAGGTCATACCCAATCTAAGAAATTTTTATTTTAATGTTAGCATAATTATTCCTATCAATGCATATGGGAACTTAAACACTTTAAAAACGTTTTCATTTTCAATTTCTTCATATGGCACAGGAAAGTAAAATTATGAATGATAAAACAAAGATTAAACTTCTTGCTTAAATCTAACTGGGTGTATTGCTGTTTGAACATAGTGCTGGAGTCACCAGCAAGTATTCTGTTTAGAATTTTTATATATGTGATGTTTTTGACTGCCTTTGATATCTCAGGAGTGATCCACAAAAGGTTGTAAAATCTCTTAATATTTCCAGAGATTTGTTACTTGGATTTCCCTGAACACTTTTAATTTAGAACTTAAAAATATATATCTTTCTCTATTATAAAAGTGGTACTGTTTCTCCAATGTCAGTTTGGTGAACCATATGAAATAATTTACAAATAGATTAATATTCAAGTTTGTATTGTCCTCTGCCAACAAAGACCAATATGAACATTTTATTTCACTTCTACTCAACACTCCTTTCTAGAAAATTATACTCTCTTTATAAATACTTATGAATTTAAATTCATAAGTAAACATCTACCCATTAAATATATATAATTTAGTCACAATTAATAAACAATAATATTTTCCATACACAGACAATTAATACATGCTTTTATCATTCAATGAATTATTTTTATTCATATATGAACAAATATAAACACGTAATGTTATTCCATGAGCTTATAATAAAAACCAACCCTTTCATTGTGTAAATAATGTCATGAATGCTAAACAATAAAAATGATGAAAACACGGAGGACTGCAGAGAGGGTGTGGATGACTATGTACAGAAGACATGAAAAGTGTTCGGCTCAGTACCCATATTCTGCTTCAGACCAGAGATATAGGAAAGCCCACCTTGTGGGGTTATGTCTATTTGCTTCCTCCAAGATGGGTTAAACAATCAATGAAGTCAAAGAACACATACAACCAAAAGACAGCATGCTCACTTGTCTACTGTGAAGAATGATGGCCCCAAGAAAGAGGATCATAGCCCACTTCATATTGAGAAGAAAGAATAAAATCATAAATAGACTTTCACTTTTTAAAAAGTACTATTACTTTTGTTTGGAGAGGTAAGAAAGAATAATAAGATAGTTATCCATTAAATAAAAACAGATGATAAAGAATAAAGATCATTCCAGTAAGGAAGAAAAGAGGAAAAACAAAAAACCTAGAGACTTCTTTGAAAGAACATAGGAAATTCATTTTAATTGGTATATTCACTCATATATACACCTGCACTGATTTAGACAAAATTCGATGTAGCATTGAAGCTAAGGGTTACTAAATGACCAAAATTTTTAATAAACTCTTTGAAGCTCATACATGAAAGTAAGGGCCTGGATGAGAGAGAGAAAAAAAATAAAGAGTCTAAGATTCCCACATGGAATAAGGGTATCTGGACACATTTGTCTCACTGTTCCTTCAAAGTGCACACTACACTGAGCCTCCTAATATCACAATGAAGCCCGACAAAACACTCAGAAGTGGATGAAGTTTAAAATTGAAAGGTTATGCTTAAACACACACACACACACACACACACACACACATACACACACAATATATAAGCATACACATGGACATGGGAAAGTTTACTATAGTATTTGAGATTGCAATAAGAAACATTTCAAGTCCTCTTCTATACACACTTTTATTCCCCAAACACTCTTCTTCCTCAGGGTCATGCAGGATGAGAATCTGCTACCTGATCTTATAGTCTACAGATGCTAAACCCTATTATACTTTACTATATAATTACTCAATTATTGTGTCTACAATGTATCTTTCCTCTTCAAGGAAAACAAAGATTTCACTGCGTTTTTTACTAGTATGTTTTAGCTTTTAGAAATTTGACGGGAATTGAGAAGGCCAATTCTTAAATATATGTTGGGCCTTTTTGTATTTATAATATATTCTGGAAGAAGATAAGGCACATTCACATTCCAAACCCATTCTTAGGATTTACATTTTATGCAAAATTTTTTAAATGTGACATATCTTTTTCCATATTCCTTGCAGAGCATATTTCACATCTTTATTTCTCAAGCTATAGATCAAGGGATTTAACATGGGGATAACTAGGGTGTAAAATATGGAAGCCATTTTAATGGAGATGAATGAGTGCCTGGACTTGGGCTGCATATACATAAATATCAAAGTCCCATAGAACACCATGACCACTGTCAGGTGGGATCCACAGGTGGAGAAAGCCTTGCGCCTGCCCTCAGCAGACTTCATCCTGAGAATGGCTATTAGGATAAGCAGGTAGGACACAAGGACAAT